CAGAATGAAGAGCTGTGTCGGATATTTCAGAATGCACTAGTATGGGCAATGACTAACTGAGCTACTTAAATCTTTTGTTCTCAACCTGAACCTGACTGCCTCTCTAAAACCTTATGATCTTACACTGCCTTTGGAGAAGCTCATGGTTCACTTCCAAGGGCAGCAGGAATAACTAGGGAAGGGAGAGAATCTGGAAGGGAGATTGATCAAGGATGCTTTTGTCCTCCACTTAAAACAAAAAAGGTGGACTGCTAGATCCAGAGGGCATGGAGGAAGGTAGAGTCTCCAGTGAGTGGTGTCCAGCCTGTCCAGGAAGGGCTGATGAAACAAAATATAGATGGGTCTCTTGTGATGCAATGGTGAATAATTGTTATCAGGACTGATTGTGAGGGTTAGAAATCTAAAGATGGACATTTTGTAACAAAGAGGGGAATGATTAATTTATCAGTCTAGGAGCGGAGGACCCTGGGACCATCAATGGAGAAGAGCGAAGAGCGGAATCCTACCCAGAGAGGTAGTGAGGCCTGGGATGGAGGCAGAGAAGACAATGCCAAGAGATGGTGGGGCTGGGGGCTCGGGATCAGGAGATGGAAAGGGGCTGAGGACTGTGGTGGGGGAGGGGGGGTGCAGATTTACAAGGTACACCCCTTGGTTGAGTGAGGATGCATGGACAGGATGATAACTATGCCAATGAAATGATGGATGATGGAATGAATGTAAAGCTGATGTTCTCCCATGTAGACTATCACACAATTCACAATAAAACATTAAAAAAAAAAAAAAAAAAAGGTCTTGTGTAGCAGATTTGCCTAATGAAAAAAAAAAAAGGTGGACTGGCTGCTTAAGGAATGCTATTTAAACTTTAAGCAAAAGTGTGAAGTAAATCAATGAACCATTCTTCCTGTCCTTGGGAGGTCCTTTCCTTGCTTCTCCTCTAAAGCTGTGTTTTCATGGTCAAACATGTGGTGCTTTAGGATAAGCTCTCGACCACAAGGTCTATTTGAACCACAAGGTCAGTGGTTCAAACTCACCAGCTTCTCCTTGGTAAATCTATACAGGGTCTCTATGGGTCAGAACTGACTTGATGGCACTTAACAACAACTACAAAGCAGTCTACCCTAGTGATGCATAGGACTCTAATTTTCCACCTGAAAATCAGTGCTCTTTTCCTCAGTTCCTAAAGTTCCCTCTTTCAGACAGTCATCTTAAGGGGTTGATGCATTGTCCTTGACATATCCTGAGCTAATCACTTAACCATCCTGAACATTTAAGAATCTGTAGAAGCTGGGGTTGAGCCAAGCAATTTCTAAATTTGCTTCCAGTTCTAAAACATCACATCCTGATCTGAGCAGGACAGTCCTGAACAATAGTCACTCTGAATTTTCTTATTTAGGGTTTCATTAAATAACTAGATTATATGGTGCCACTGGGTACCCTTACTCACGTCAGTCACCCTTATGTACTGGGCACAGCTGAGCCCCCAGCAAGCATGCAGAGCAGGTGTAATGCTCTGAGGATATGCTCTGCATGCTTTACAGCATAATGTTCTGAGGACAAATCCAAGGGAGCTTCTTCTGATCAAAAACAGGGTCAATAGTTGGCATCAAGATTTAGGGAACCTCAATGTAAATAACATGAAAGAATAATGCTAAACAGATATAATAATCAGGGGAGTAGCAATACATGGAAACTTGGCAGTTTAAAAAAAATTACAAAACAAAACTACTTAACTTCAGGATGTCTACAAATTCCACTGCAATGAATGTTACAGCACAACATTACCTGTTGTTGTTGTTAAGTGCCGTCGAGTCAATTCTGACCCATAGCGGCCTTGTATAGGGTTTCTGAGGAGCAATTGGTGAGTTTGAACCTCCAACCTTACAATTCGAACAGCTTTGCAGTCTGGCACATTAACCCACAGCGCCACACCAGAACTCCTACAATATTACCTGGAGATGTGCTATTTGCCATCAAGGACTCTTTCACCTCAAGCAATAATCACTATAAAGTTCAAGCCATTTTTCAGTATGGTTAAAACAAATCTGACAGTGCTTTGAGTTTGTCTTAATAACATATGGTGTTGGTGGAATGCTGTGGAGTTGGTTCCAGCTCATAGCGACCCTACATAGGGTTTCGAAGGCTGTAAATCTTTATGTGAGCAGAAGGCCTAATCTTTCTCCCATAGAACAGTTGGTAGTTTTGAACTGCTGACCTTGAAGTTAGCAGCCTGTCTCGTAACCACTGCTATGGAAATCCAATATTTAGAGATTTGTCATAATCTATCCATCAGGGTGGATGCTACCCTACTGAGGCAGTATTTTGGTCTGTACAGTATTGACCTTACACTTCTTAAAAAGTAATTTAAAAATATAATCAATAACATCTTTAAATGAGTTGACATAAGGCAAGGTCCAAATGTTTTGTACCACTTTGTATTAAAAAGGAAAATGCAATTGTGAATTTCTTTCTATATATGCTTAAAATATATATAGAAAGAGAAAATAAAGAAACTATTTTGAGTCTTGCTGGGGACATCTGGAATCATCTTGTAAAAGCAAGTTGGCCTTTGTTCTTGGTTCTTTCAAGCTGAAAGCAAATGAGTGAGGGCTGACCAGACCCAGAGGGACCACCTGGTGGCTCAAAGCTAACAAAACCTCATGAGGCATGATGTAATCTGTCATGGTTACATATGTGGCTAAGTGCTCTCAACCCTAAGGCTGATAAGCTTCCTGTTTGGTGACCATGCACAGGAAGATCTAAATGTGTCCCTCTTTCAGACATGAAAGTACTGAGCTGAGACCTCTCCTTCACCTCACCCTATGCATATCTTCATTTGCATCCTTTTGGTTGAAATACAGCTGTACTCATAAGTGTAGTACACTCTCCATAAAATTTGTGAATTGTTCCAGCGACTTAAACTCACAGGGGCAATGAGAGCTAGCAGGGGTTGGCATCTACCTATTTGACAATCTGCAAGGTGATTTTCTAACATGTAAACTTTGACCTAGTTCTGGGTTACTAGGGTTCAAGAAATGCTGCATAGGCAGCTGATTTGAAAGAGAGTGTCCGTCTAACTTGTTAGTTCTGAGCCTGCTCCTGGTGGCTAGGATCAGAGACAGAGAGTGCTTTGTGACTGGCTGGTGATGAGGATGGAGAGGTGGGAAAGTGAGGACTGGATCCATCCCCATATTTTGGGAATTGGATCACACAGTAATGAAGATGGGATTTGCTCACTTTGTCCCATGCTTAGTGTACCCTCTTCCACCTTGAGGATGCTTTGAGTAAGGAACCCTGGTGGCACAATGGCGTAAGCACTGGGCTGATAGCCACACGGTCAGTGGTTCAAAACCGCTAGTCCCTCCACAGGAGAAGGATGAGGTTGTCTGTTTCCATAAAGATTCACAGTCTTGGAAACCCTAAGGAGTAGTTTACTCTGTTCTGAATCAACAAATAGTTTGAATTAACAAATAGGCAGTGGGTCTCTTTTGAGTAAAGTTATGGAGACTTAACAGGGCTATGAGGCCATTCTTACTTCTTGGTCAGTCTAGAAATGCAGATACAAGAGAGGAATATTTCTAATTTATATCCACACTGCACTTACAGAGGTGTTAGTGTCAAACAATTCTTTTTTTGTTTTTTGTTTTTAAATTTTTATTATGAATTGAGTGATAGTTTACATGGTAGAACATCAGTTTTACACTCATCCTTTCGTATTTCATTTCATTGCAATGAGTACAATCCCTTCCATGCATCATCATTCAACCATTCAACAACATTTGCTTCTATTCCCTTTGGGTTTTTTTTTTTTTAATGTATACAAAAACACTCAGGAATATACAATCATTTACACACCAACCAAAGGACACATTCTGCAAGCCTGCCTCCTGGCTGCCAGCACACGGCCTTTCTATTTCCGTGAGTCCAGAGTCCTCAGCTGCTCTATCTCTCCATGTCCTCATCTGTGCCTTCATTTCTGCTGTTGCTACTTCTCTGGATAGGGTCCTACATTCTGCTTCTGTTCTTCTCCTTTGATGGTCCTAGTGTCCTCTGTTCCTGGAGTGTAATATTAACTACTCCCTCCTTTTTGTTACAAAATTTCTACCTTTACAGTTGTGACTGTCACAATTAGTCATGGTAACAATTACTCACTTATGAATCTTAAGAATCTTATCCCCATCTCCTTTTACCAGACCCATCTAGACAAGATGAAAACTATTCATTGGGGGTTCTACCTTCTCCTGCACATCTGATACTAAACTCTCCCTTGAAAACTTGTAAACCAGTCACTTCATGCTTTTATTGCCTCCCTTGCTTTTTAGATAGCCAATTCCTAAGTTGCCTGTCCCTGTCAATCCTGTGTACAGAGGAGTTAGGATTAATCAAACAATTCCTTATTTTTTTTTTCCCAAACAATTCCTCCTTCATGTTGTGATTTAATTGGTACATATTACGGCTCCTAAACCTTCTTAAAACTAATGTTTACTTGAGGAGAGGGAAACTTGGTGTCTGAAAGCCAGGAAAGGTAAGGCGACTTAGCACTATGCATATTTTTTGTACTTTTGATACTTGACCGTGTAAATTTATTTACTATTTAAAAATACTTAAGTAAATAAAATTACTGCTGTTAAGTGCCATTGAGTTGGTTCTTACTCATAGTGACCCTGTATAGGTTTTCTGAGGAGTGACAAGTGAGTTTGAACCATCAGCCTTGCAGTTAGCAGTCCAGGGTTTATCCTGTACCACCACACCAGAACCCCATAAATAAAATGAACAGGTTTAAAATTAAAATTCCTATCTTCTCTTGAAAAACTAGGAAATTCTGTACCAAGGACCTTTTAATGCTAAGTTGTTATTGTGTGCCATCAAGTCAGTTCCAATTCATAGTGAGCCTGTATAGGCTCTCCAAGGCATGGCTGGTGGGTTGAACCACAGACCTTGCTTTTCCTACAGCACCACACAAGGACTGAGTTGCAACTGATATCAAATGTAGTGGACAGTACCTAGTTCTGTCTGGTAGTCTCTGAGGGCGTTACAGTCATACATCTCCTGTCCCTGGGGAGTCCGGAGGCAGTACACACTCACAGGGAAGCCACATCTCAGGGTTACCAGTGTTCTCAAATCAGACACTTTGTTACCAAGTAGGGTGATGCTCTCCATTATTGGCATTGTCTCTTGTGTTACAGCATTGAACACGTATAGAGTCGGCTTGTCTTCTTCCTAAGGGGAGAGTAAAAGAGCTTTCGAATAAGCATGTGGAGGTTTTACATGTGACTTTGAGTCCCTCGAGTTCAAACAACACTTTGATGCAAAGGGTCTTTGTTGTTGTTGTTAAGTACCGTAGAGTCGGTTCCGACTCATAGCGACCATGTACAGGGTTTCTGAGGCTGTAAATCTTTACGAGAGCAAAAAGCCTCATCTTTCTCCCATGGAACAACTGGTAGTTTCTAACCGTTCACCATCCGATTAGCAGCCCAATTCATAACCACTATGCTACCAGAGGGTCTTTGCTTCCCTGAAAGTGCCCTGATTGTAGTCTGACTCTTGCTCTTCTTGGGGGTATTACAGAATCTTCCTGCTTTGAATAAAGTGTACAAGATTTGGCAGGGCTATGAGATCCTTCTTACTCCTCAGATACAAGAAAGCAGTGTTTCTAATTTATATCCACACTGTGCTTACAGAGGTGTAAGCTTAGAACAATAACTTCATTATACTGTGATTTTGTTTAGAAATGTTTTGGAATGTAAACTGGCATTCCGTTTTTAAAAATCCTTTCTGAGAGCTTATCCCTGAGGACCAGACCAGAGTTCAGGGTGAAAAAACTGTTTTGCTTCTTACTTTATAACCACATGTATAAGGGAACTTCAAAAAGTTCATGGAAAAATGAAATTAAAAGATAATGGAGTGATAGACTTCCGGCAAAGATAGCAAACTAGGCAGTCACACTACACGGACCCTCTACAACAAAGATGAGAAACCAAATGAAACAGATACAGATGAAAACTCTGGAACCCTGAACTTCAGAGGAAAGGTTAGAAAAGTGCTTGTTAGGAGGGGAAACTGAGCAGGGATGACGAGAGAGGAAGGCTAGCGCATGACTGACCAGAGGTAGTTTGACCATCGTGTGAACACCTTTGGCAACTGAAAGTGGCCTAGCAGAGCAGATTCACACAGGCTACAAGAAAAGGGGTGAGTCCTTCTTTTTCCTCATGCCTCTCTGGTAACCAGAGATATGGTGAGCTCCCACCCTCATCCACCTCCAGCACTGACTCTGTTCTCCAAGAATTTGGAGCCACATGGTTAGAAGCTACACCATTATGAGGTGGGGACCAGCTTTACTGCTTGGGTTCCTGGATTCAGGCAGACTCAGCTCCAGAACTACAGAACCCATAGAGCCACCAGACCAGCATTTAACCAGTTATCCTGCTCGCAAGCTGCCCTGTGGTTCTAACAGACACTGAAACCAGCCCCATCAAGGCCTTCCACAGACTACTTTGTGGATGAGAGTCCCCTGAACATAGAAAACATTGAAGCCGATAGGAACTCTATGCATCTAAGATCAGGAACTCTGCTGTCACGTCCTTCCTATACCCACTTCATGGCTTGCAGGAGCCCCACAGAATGTTCTCTTCTCAGGGTCCAAAAAAATGCTAAAGGTATTCTTTGAACTGAGAACCAACAACAGCACAACCTGAGATTACCATACATTGTCAGGGACAGGTTAGGACCCATGGGCTCTAGGCTACTCTAACCCTGGCTTCATATCTACCCCTTCCCTGAGTCCTCTCCTACTAGACAGGATCAAGAAATGGGGAGGGTGTCTGTAGTCCAACAAGAATAGTAACATTTGAGAGGAACAGCCTGGAAACAGAGATACGTATAACAGGACCTGAAACCTCGATAGAGAGATGCAGCTGGTCACACCCAGACAGCCCATGAACATAGTGCCTAGAGCTGACAACTGCAGTAGGCACTCCATGTCCAAGAAGCCTGCACCCCTTTACTAAAAATTAAATGAATATTCCGAGGTAAATAGTGATGCATACTCAACCTTGGAACAATAGGGCTCTGGGATACAGGGATCTAGGTATAGCTTGGAGAGGGGAAATAATAGTAAAATCCTTGACTGCCTTATGAATATTACTTTCCCTTGCCTACTATTGTAAAACAGACACTTGAGTGGAATAGAAAGGAATGTTGGGAAACATGATTAGAGAAAACTTGTAAGCCCGCCTTTAGCCTACAACTGATTGGAATACCTAAAAGGGGTTCTACAACTTGCCCAGTGACATAGGCCGCATGCAAAGCCTTTACAGAGTATAGCATTTTAGGTGGAATCCTGAGTCCCATCCACAACCTTATGAGGTGAGACATTCCCACTAGAAGGGATAAGCAGACTGGAACAGCTACAGTGACAGATGATGCATCTTCATGATGAACCTGACCTATACTTTAAATACCAACAGAGAGGGAAAGAGTCTTTCAAATCAACTTTCAACACTATCCTCTCTGTACACAGGGTAGATTAGGATCGGCAACCTTGACATTGGCTACCTAAAATGAGGGGGCAATAAAGGCACAAAGTGACTGGCTTACAATTTCAAGAGGGAGTTTAGCTTAAGAGTATGGGGGGAAAGAAAGAGTCCCCACTGAATAGTTGTCATCTTGTCTACATGGGTCTGGTGAAAAGAGATGGGGATAAGATTTGTAAGACTCAATAGTGAATAACTATTATCATGATTAATCGCGACTGTCACAATTGTAAAGGTAGAAGTTTTGTAACAAAAAAAGGGGAGTG